GAAATGAGGGGGTGTCTCGCTTTCTCTACTGTCTTTGCCTCTGATTCTTCCCTGTTGCTAGCTAGTGATAGCAAATATGATCTATTATATTGAAAAGATGTTCAAGTAACCGCTCTAACAATGAAAATACATGTCCTCAAAGATGGAAGGCAGGCGGGAGGAGACAAGATCAGTTGGGACCATTCTAGCCAATGAGAGGGCAGATAGGTGTGTGAACACCAGGTACAGAAGTTGCAGATTGCCATATGAATCCACTTATATCGTTACATTTGTAACAACCTAAACATTACTCTATTTGATCAAATAAGCCTCACGTAACTTGACAATCTCATAGACCTCCATGCAAAAAGGTCTGCTTATGTCGTGGGGACAGATTTTGGGTGGAGGTAATCCTCTCGTGTCGCATCTTCCTCTCTGGTGATAGCTAGTAGTGATACACAAGCTAGACTTATTTGAAACATTACCATTTACTGGCAGCATTTACCCGCCAGAATCAGAAGCTGGAAAACCCCATTAGGAAAAAAAAAGCTTGAAAACCCCATTTGATTAAAAATAAAAATACAACTGAACATCATTTATAATGTTTTTGTATTCTATTTTAGTTAGTTTTGCAGCCAAAGATAATAGTTTCAGTATAGTTGTAAAAATATTTTAATTATTTTATTACAGTTTACAGAAACTTTATTTTAGTTTTAGTTTACTATAATAACCTTGGCGTGTACACATACACACATAGGCACTGTAGTAGTGGAAACAAAGGAATAGAAGGGACACAAAGCTGAGGGAAAGTGGGGAGGGGGAAAAAACAGGACATGTCTATAGGGAAGGCTGAAAATAAAGAGGCACACAATCCCAGCATGCATCTGGGTGGGAGTCAGGCAGGCAGGCAGCCCCTCCCTCCTTGTGCTATGAAGAGTGGCTGGGAGCATACTCAGCGAAGTGAAGATCTGCAGTGCATGCTGAATGGAGCCCCAATCCATCCACTGCTGCCCAATGATCTCTCTCGCTTTCTTTCCCTCTTTCTTTCTCTCCCTCTCTTCCTCCCAGACTCATTAATCTATACAGACCTATTTTTAATCAGTGGCCCTGACTGATCAGAAGTCTAACACCAGCCTCCTCCTCGACCATTAGAGCAAACACTTAGATAGCCAGAGTTCGATCCATTCTCCTTACTCAAGTGTGTGTGTGTGTGTGTGTGTGAGCGTGCGTGCGTGCGTCATTAAAATAATCTCTTTGAGACAAGAAAGACATATCAAACCCACTGATAGAACAGCAGCTTGATATGGGCTGTGGTTCTTTTGTATGTTGGGCTGCAGCTCACTGCCCAAGGTAAGTAGCATCTTACATTTACATTTTAGTCATTTAGCAGACGCTCTTATCCAGAGCGACTTACAGTTAGTGAATGCATAAATTTTCATACTGGCCCCCTGTGGGAAACCATGCTCTACCAACTGAGCTACAGGGGACTACGGCCAGTAACTGATGTCACTGGCCAACAACCTTCAGGGCTTCTAATGGCTGAAGGATAGCTCTATTGCAGATACACATTTGTACAGCAAATGTAGAGAGGATAGATTTTGTTTCTAACATTTTTTACAAAAGAATCTCAGAGATGCAATGTTCAGTTTCTTTGTTACCATTTATCATTACTATTAATTACAGCCTTTAATTAAGGAATGTGTATCATCGCAGTTTAAAGACGATAGTAGCTTTCATTTAAAACAAAGGCAAAAGTGTTGGCATAAAAGACAATTGCAAGCATTTTTAGATTATTTAAAATACAATCTTTTCCATCTTGAAGACAGTATAAATCAAATCAAATTTTATTTGCCACATGCGGCGAATACAACAGGTGTAGACATTTCCGTGAAATGCTTACTTACAGCCCTTAACCAACAATGCAATTATTTCTTAATAAAAAGTAAAATAAAACAACAAAAAAGTGTTGAGAAAAAAAGAGCAGAAGTAAAATAAAATAACAGTAGGGAGGCTATATACAGAGGGGTACCGGTGCAGAGTCAATGTGCAGGGGCACCGGCTAGTTGAGGTAATATGTACACGTGGGTAGAGTTAAAGTGACTATGCATAAATAATTAACAGAGTAGCAGCAGCGTAAAAAGATGGGGTGAGGGTGGGGGGGCAGTGCAAATAGTCTGGGTAGCCATGATTAGCTGTTCAGGAGTCTTATGGCTTGGGGGTAGAAGCTGTTGAGAAGCCTTTTGGACCTAGACTTGGCGCTCCGGTACATTTACATTTAAGTCATTTAGCAGACGCTCTTATCCAGAGCGACTTACAGTTAGTGCATACATTTTTATTATTTTTTATACTGGAATCGAACCCACAACCCTGGCGTTACAAACACCATGCTCTACCAACTGAGCTACATCCCTGCCGGCCATTCCCTCCCCTACCCTGGACAACGCTGGGCCGGCTACGACAGAGCCTGGATTCGAACCAGGATCTCTAGTGGCACAGCTAGCACTGCGATGCAGTGCCTTAGACCACTGCGCCACTCGGGAGTATACGGTACCACTTGCCGTGCGGTAGCAGAGAGAACAGTCTATGACTAGGGTGGCTAGTTGAGGGAGAGGTTGTTATCCTGGCACCACACGGCCAGGTCTCTGACCTCCCAATAGGTTGTCTCATCGTTGTCGTTGATCAGGCCTACCACTGTTGTGTCGTCGGCAAACTTAATGATGGTGTTGGAGTCGTGCCTGGCCATGCAGTCATGGGTGAACAGGGAGTACAGGAGGGGACTGAGCACGCACCCCTGAGGGGCCCCTGTGTTGAGGATCAGTGTGGCAGATGTTTTGTTACCTACCCTTACCACCTGGGGGCGGCCCGTCAGGAAGTCCAGGATCCAGTTGCAGAGGGAGGTGTCTAGGGTTTCTGGGATAATGGTGTTGATGTGAGCCATGACCAGCCTTTCAAAGCACTTCATGGCTACAGACGTCAGTGCTACGGGTCAGTAGTCATTTAGGCAGGTTATCTTAGTGTCCTTGGGCACGGGAACTATGGTGGTCTGCTTGAAACATGTTGGTATTACAGACTCAGTCAGGGACATGTTGAAAATGTCAGTGAAGACACTTGCCAGTTGGTCAGCACATGCTCGGAGTACACGTCCTGGTAATCCGTCTTTCAAGCCCTGCCACATCCGACGAGCGTCAGAGCCGGTGTAGTACGATTCAATCTTAGTCCTGTGCGGATGTTGCCTGTAATCCATGGCTTCTGGTTGGGGTATGTACATACGGGGGGGGGACGTCATCAATGCACTTATTGATGAAGCCAGTGACTGATGTGGTGTACTCCTCAATACTCTCAGAAGAATCCCGGAACATGTTCCAGTCTGTGCTAGCAAAACAGTCTTGTAGCTTAGCATCTGCATCATCTGACCAATTTTTTATTAACCGAGTCACTGGTGCTTCCTGCTTTAGTTTTTGCTTATAAGCAGGAATCAGGAGGATAGAGTTATGGTCAGATTTGCCAAATGGAGGGCGAGGGAGAGCTTTGTATACGTCTCTGTGTGCCTCTGGATGAGCGCTGCCTCTGGATGAGCATTTTCCTGTTTAGTTATGGCCTTATACAGCTCATTGAGTGCAATCTTAATGCCAGCATTGGTTTGTGGTGGTAAATAGACAGCTATGAAAAATAAACTTTTGGTAAATAGTGTGGTCTACAGCTTATCATAAGATACTCTACCTCAGGCGAGCAAAACCTCAAGTCTTACCGGAGTCAGCCGTTCTATCCTGCCGATGTAGCGTATAGCCCGCTAGCTGTATGTTGTCCATGTCGTCGTTCAGCCACGACTCAGTGAAACATAAGATATTACAGTTTTTTATGTCCCGTGGGTAGGATAACCGTAATCTTAGGTCATCTAATTTATTTTCCAATGATTGAAGATTGGCTAATAGGATTGATGGAAGAGGCAGTTTACTCGCTCGCCGTCGGATCCTTACGAGGCACCCCACCTACGTCCACGATATCTCAGTCTCTTTCTCCTGCGAATGACGGGGATTTGGGCCTTGTCGGGTGTCTGTAGGATATCCTTCGCGTCCGACTCGTTGAAGAAAAAATCTTTGTCCAATACGAGGTGATTAATTGCTGTCCTGATATCCAGAAGCTCTTTTTGGTTATAAGAGACAATGGCAGAAACATTATGTACAGAATAAATGACAAATAACGCGAAAAAACACACATAATAGTACAATTGGTTAGAGGGCTGTAAAACGGCTGTAAAACGGCAGCCATCTTCTCAGGCGCCATCTCTACCTTTCAGAGACACTTATAGGCACCTTAGCTCATTGGTTGAAGTGGCCTCTAGATAATATCTCACCATGATTGCTGTTTCCTGGCACATTTATCTAATTATTTGTGGAGATAAATTTGTGCCAGTGCTTTAACCCATCGTAAAAATGTATGACCTGCTTGGAGGAAGCACAGTGCTTGCACAAATGAGACCCAAAGAACAGAGGCGGGGAACACAGAGGAGAGACACAAAACCATAGGGTCAACAAGTTCAAAAAATAGATAGAGAGGATGGGCGGATGTGAGCTCCATTGTTACCCACGGAAGAGCTAGCCCTGGTTTATAAACATGCCGACCGACCGGCAGCTTAAGGAGGCAGTTGGTTTAAACCAGAGAGATATACTGTAGAGCAGCTCAAATTTCAATAGAATAAAATCCTATTAAAATAAACCCCTCTTTACAGATCAACACACAGACCAAGAGGAAAATAAAATGCATTTCTTGAGATCATAATCATGATTTTTAAAACTTTTTTTTTTTTAATATGCGAATCAGCGGTCACTGCACTCCAGGTTGAAGTAAAGGTGCCTCCTCCCCAGTGCTTTACAGTAGGAGTTTGGTTGTGTGACTGTAGTGGTAGTGTAAAGCCGTGCTGGCTAGGGGTCTAAGCCCCACCCTGGGAGTGAGAGCAGAGCTGTGATGACCTATGGCTTGACTCAGCGTGTCAGCTCCATTCACCTGACAGGATGCCTTTAGACAGCACAGCCACCGCCCTGCACCCCCACGTGGGTCACCTTGCACAGTGAGGTCGTGACCCCTGAGATACGGGGACAGAGACACTGGCAAAAAATGACTCAACAACACCTGACTACCATCACTAGTGAGAGGTTATGAAATGCAGGCTGTCATAAAATCTCATCTCTGCATGCTGCCAGTGACCTTGGAGGAATGAAGCTTGCCTTAGTGCTTGATGGGAGCTTGTTTAATTATTATGCTCTACAGTACAGACATCTATCTGGTAAGGTGGAGATATTTAGGCCTAACCATTGCTCAGTTCCTCCAGGCAGTCTACTGTAACTGTAGTGAGGTACATTTACATTTACGTCATTTAGCAGATGCTCTTATCCAGAGCGACTTACAAATTGGTGCATTCAACTTATGATAGCCAGTGGGACAAACACTTTTTTTTTTTATGAGGGGGTTGGGGGGGGGGGTGGGTAGAAGGATTACTTTTATACTATTCCAGGTATTCCTTAAAGAGGTAGGGTTTCAAGTGTCTCCGGAAGGTGGTCAGTGACTCCGCTGTCCTGGCGTCGTGGGGGAGCTTGTTCCACCATTGGGGTGCCAGTGCAGCGAATAGCTTTGACTGGGCTGGGCGGGAACTGTGCTTCCGTAGAGGTAGGGGGGCTAGCAGGCCAGAGGTGGATGAACGTAGTGCCCTCGTTTGGGTGTAGGGTCTGATCAGAGCCTGAAGGTAAGGAGGTGCCGTTCCCCTCACAGCTCCGTAGGCAAGCACCATGGTCTTGTAGTAGATGCGAGCCTCAACTGGAAGCCAGTGGAGTGTGCGGAGGAGCGGGGTGACATGAGAGAACTTGGGAAGGTTGAACACCAGACGGACTGCAGCGTTCTGGATAAATTGTAGGGGTTTAATGGCACAGGCAGGGAGCCCAGCCAACAGCGAGTTGCAGTAATCCAGATGGGAGATGACAAGTGCCTGGATTAGGACCTGTGCCGCTTTCTGTGTAAGGTAGGGTCGTACTCTGCGAATGTTGTAGAGCATGAACGGGTCACCGCTTTGATGTTAGCGGTACATCTGCAGTGAGATCAGGATGACACTAAGATATGCTCATTCACGGGGAGGGAAGTTGACTTTCTGGTGTATTAATAGTTCAAACACCATGACCGTTACCCGTTCCGTTTCCTCTCAGTAGAGGAACCCAGAGGTGCCAGTCGGACCATAAGCCAACCAGAGACAGAAACACATAGAGCAGAGTGTCCCAAACTCGGTTTGCTAGGGCAAAAACCAAAACGTGCACCCCTGACCGTAAGCCCCATCAGCTGGGAAGCAAAAATTCCAAATTTAGAGCCACCAGGCCCATGTTGTTACTCTACTGGATGCTGGAGGCTCAGGCTGGAGCAGAGCAGGTGAGGTGCCACTGGGTGAGGGAGGGTTATGGTGTTAGTGGTAGGTGGCTGGGTTACACTTATATGAACACTTGTGCCCAGAGGCCGGGGGAGATCAACATAGCCTTGCCTGTGTGTTGGAGCTCTATGGTTCTGCACCTCCTACACAGTCATCAACCTGTCCCTCCCATTTCTCTCACTCATCTATCCTTCCCTCTCTTTCGCTCTGTACAGCATCACTTTGCGTTAGTCACACATTGTGAAACTGTGGCTCATCTCTCCTTAAGGCAGGATTTTCAATCCTATGAAGTAAACAAGCACAGGGCTGACTCCTACAGAGAGACAGGGGATTAGTAGCACCAAAGTCTATGACAACCACACAATCATTATCCCCCCGAAAACGTCACAGTAGGGCTGTGGCGGTCATGACATTTTGTCAGCCGGTGATTGACCAGCAAATAACTGCTGGTCTCATGGTAATTGACCGTTAATTAACATTAACATGTTTACCATCTCCTGGCTTCCACACACAGCCTACAAGCCACTGATGCAGACCTTTGAAACATCTACATTCTAAAAAGTCTAAAGAAACATGAGATGAAGAAAATGTAGTCTATTTCAGAAGAACAGAATAGCATACTCTGAGTTGTCCTTATGTTAGGTCCTGATCTGGCTATGCCATATGGCTGTGGGCTATACTAGTTCATTTAGCAGACAAGATTTGCTTAGAATTCTGTGGCATTATTTTATAGTATGAAGAACACAATTGAACATAGCTGAATAAAATAGAAAGGGTATTTTCTCCAAACGATTTCCGTGGGAGTGCGCACATGCAGATATTCTGTGTTGAGTGGTTAACAAAGAAACAGGTCCTCCTATATGCTTACTTTAGAGTTATTTATGCAACTTTAGTTGTGATAAAATGTTGGGCTATATGTTTTGATTTTTAATACATTCTAAGGCTGCATGATGCAACTCTAATGATGATTTGAAAAAAGTAGCATGAAAGGCATGAGCTCTGCTTTGTTTATTGTGCAGGCTGCCCACACTTCATCAGTCTCTCATTCACAATTTGACAAGCACTTGATAATATTCTCACCAGGCCTCGAATTTCCCAGCGGCACCCCACTTGTGTGGCCGTGATGCCCCCTAAAAAAAAGACATGCTTTGACCAAAGTGGCCGTTGTGCCTTTGGCCTGAATATAATAATTATAATTCCCTGCTCCCGGCTGCCAATCGCCGTGCATTGAAGCACCTCTCACTCACATGGCTGTCAGAGATCTCAATTATTATTAGCCAATGCCCTCACTTGATCAGGTCCTTCTCTCAGCTCCGAAGTAGGCTACAAGTGAAGACAGCTCATCGGGGACGCGCATCGTTCTTATCGAATTCCGAGGCGTATATTGAAGATGTTAGAAGAACTGTCCACATTTACTTTTCGTCAGCCAACAAGATGAGTAGGCCTAACGAACAGCAAAAGCACTAGCCTCTGTCAATCTGCTATCCCACATAGTACAAAAGTGAACCTATTCTATTGATCAACTTGTCCTTCGTTGCGATAAATAAATATTCCAAACATACTCTGGGACAGTTGTGGGATGTGATAGATCCCAAATTAATACAAACACTTGCATCAAACATTTTTTTTAAAGCAATGAGGTTGATGCAACAGATCAGAACGTTTAGCTTAAAATGCAGTAGGCTATAAGCGTGAATGTTCCTAAATGCAATCAATTAGCGGGAAAACACCATTTTCAAAAGTGACCGCAAATGCTATTATGCATGTAATGCTTTATTATAAAGGTGCATTTTTATAGTGAAAATTATGGCTGTCTATGTATGCCAGTTAGGCTCTACACTGGTTGTAAAGCAGATTAATCTGCATAATTTTAAGAAGTTATTTGGCCACTGGATACAAACCTTATCAAAACATATAGGGCTAGGCTACATGAGGTGTGCGACTATGATTTGAAAAAGTTGCACACAAAAAAGGCATGTGCTGTTTCTGGCCTTAATGCACACACTGGGCATCATTCACAAGTGATATTACATCATTCACAAGTAATAATATTGTCACCCACAACACTATTCTTAATTTAATCTTGTCTTTACATATACTAAATAATATACAGTGGGGAAAAAAAGTATTTAGTCAGCCACCAATTGTGCAAGTTCTCCCACTTAAAAAGATGAGAGAGGCCTGTAATTTTCATCATAGGTACACGTCAACTATGACAGACAAATTGAGAAAAAAAAATCCTAAAAATCACATTGTAGGATTTTTTATGAATTTATTTGCAAATTATGGTGGAAAATAAGTATTTGGTCACCTACAAACAAGCAAGATTTCTGGCTCTCACAGACCTGTAACTTCTTCTTTAAGAGGCTCCTCTGTCCTCCACTCGTTACCTGTATTAATGGCACATGTTTGAACTTGTTATCAGTATAAAAGACACCAGTCCACAACCTCAAACAGTCACACTCCAAACTCCACTATGGCCAAGACCAAAGAGCTGTCAAAGGACACCAGAAACAAAATTGTAGACCTGCACCAGGCTGGGAAGACTGAATCTGCAATAGGTAAGCAGCTTGGTTTGAAGAAATCAACTGTGGGAGCAATTATTAGGAAATGGAAGACATACAAGACCACTGATAATCTCCCTCGATCTGGGGCTCCACGCAAGATCTCACCCCGTGGGGTCAAAATGATCACAAGAACGGTGAGCAAAAATCCCAGAACCACACGGGGGGACCTAGTGAATGACCTGCAGAGAGCTGGGACCAAAGTAACAAAGCCTACCATCAGTAACACACTACGCCGCCAGGGACTCAAATCCTGCAGTGGGCAGACGTGTCCCCCTGCTTAAGCCAGTAAATGTCCAGGCCCGTCTGAAGTTTGCTAGAGTGCATTTGGATGATCCAGAAGAGGATTGGGAGAATGTAATATGGTCAGATGAAACCAAAATAGAACTTTTTGGTAAAAACTCAACTCGTCGTGTTTGGAGGACAAAGAATGCTGAGTTGCATCCAAAGAACACCATACCTACTGTGAAGCATGGGGGTGGAAACATCATGCTTTGGGGCTGTTTTTCTGCAAAGGGACCAGGACGACTGATCCGTGTAAAGGAAAGAATGAATGGGGCCATGTATCGTGAGATTTTGAGTGAAAACCTCCTTCCATCAGCAAGGGCATTGAAGATGGCTGGGTCTTTCAGCATGACAATGATCCCAAACACACCGCCCGGGCAACGAAGGAGTGGCTTCGTAAGAAGCATTTCAAGGTCCTGGAGTGGCCTAGCCAATCTCCAGATCTCAACCCCATAGAAAATCTTTGGAGGGAGTTGAAAGTCTGTGTTGCCCAGCGACAGCCCCAAAACATAATTGCTCTAGAGGAGATCTGCATGGAGGAATGGGCCAAAATACCAGCAACAGTGTGTGAAAACCTTGTGAAGACTTACAGAAAACGTTTGACCTGTGTCATTGCCAACAAAGGGTATATAACAAAGTATTGAGAAACTTTTGTTATTGACCAAATACTTATTTTCCACCATAATTTGCAAATAAATTCATTAAAAATCCTACAATGTGATTTTCAGGATTTTTTTTCCTCATTTTGTCTGTCATAGTTGACGTGTACCTATGATGAAAATTACAGGCCTCTCTCATCTTTTTAAGTGGGAGAACTTGCACAATTGGTGGCTGACTAAATATTTTTTTTCCCCACTGTATGTGTGAAAATAGTTTTGAATTAGAATGGATCATTATCATGCACCTGTCTTGGAACAGGGGGAGGGGGAAAAAATACATGTCATCTATGCACTTAAATAGCGAATGGAGAATGCTTTTCCCGTGGTTCATTTTCATGCCAGCCAGGTAGGCTATACTCCTGTTGTAAAGCGAAGCAATGTGCTTAATATTAAGAAAGTTGAGAAATAAATATAGTAAGCCTATAGAAAGCTGATGGAATCCTCCTCTTTTTTAATAGAGGCCATCAAAACTATGTTGTTTTTTCACGCAATTGCATAGTCTATATAAATGTTGCGCAACATGAACTCATGGGCTCTCATGAAGTGTTTGATTTAAATGTTCCATTACATTTGCATTGATGCCAGAGTGATTAGAGGGACAATAGAGTGCTGAGTACCAGGCAGTTAGCAAGTTTGGTAGGCTACTAATAACCATTAGCAGCATCAGAGAGCAGTTTTGGAGAAGCCTAGTTACCGTGACTAAACAGTCACGTGACCGCCGGTGTGGCGATAATACGGTCACCATAACAACCCTAGTACCACGTACCGCTAGCAGCATTTTAGCCAAATACTGTCTAGTCTGTGTTTTATAAATGTGCAATAAGTATAAAACAATTATATAAGGAATTGGCAACTTGTTCTCATTCTGAGAAACAAGGTAGGCCACTTGATTTCAACATCTGAACAAAGTGGACAGGCTAGCATGCTGATGAAACAGTTGGAGACAGAAGGGTGTGTTCATAACAATTCAACTGTTCTACCTTGTTAGCAAGCAAATACATCCAAGTTGGCTAAACTTGAAATATAAAGATTAGCTGGCAACTCACTAGCACATGGGCTTGTGCTTGAGAGATTGTTTATGAGACCTGTGTTAATTTTCTATAGCCTAATGCCTGCTACAAGAAGTTAGTCATTATAAGTGAATGTGCATTATGCATGGTTCTGGTAAAAATTGTAACAAAAAGGGAATTTTCATAGACAGACTTGAAAGCCAGATCAGTGATTATTGCAAAAAAGCCCATTAAACTATTTTGATAAAATTATAAAATTATTAGTGGATCTTATGGTTGTGGAAGGCTTATATTTAGCCTAGGTATAATTTCCCAAGCCCTGAATTCATTAGATTATTGCTGACTGTCTGTGAATTTGACCTTTAATTGTACAACAAAGCTTATTTAGAGAAAACATTAAAATCTAGATATATATTGTGAAATCGGCCATAAATAATAAAAAAATTAAATAGAGATATGCTTTTTAGGCCATATCGCCCAGTCCTATATCACATGCTGCTCCATCTTATGGCTAACGTGTGACTGAAACGATTAGGACGTGTGACTGTCAAACTTGTGAGGCTTTAGTCACCCACAGAAAACCCACACATCTATCTTGTAGCATGCCAGTCACTCTCTCAAACAGAGCACTGCCATCTGATACAGTCAGTGGCTCTAAAACACAAGTACAGTCAAATACGAAAAGAGCCTCCCCTCCACCAAACCCTGGAGCTAATAGGACTAAACTGCATCAGCAACTTGATTTGGAGCCAAGTACGTACCTGAAATATACATGTAACCACCGTACACCGTCCCTGCATGGCCGTAGTGTGGCTCGTTCATTTTAGCGACGTACGTCCACTCGTTTGTCCTGGGGTTGTAGCACTCCACCGTGGCTGCATGGGGAAGAAAAACAACAACAGAGTATTAGAGGGGAAAGTAGTTCAAGAGAAAACTAAGGAGAACAAACATAGCTGCAAATGCGGCCTTGGAGGGTCAGTGTGGGAGCTGCTGAACCAGGTACCTAAATACAAAGCAGAGATCCCCCCACCAACCACCACTCCACTCCCCAGCCCCTTCATTGCAGTGACTCTAGTCTACACAGAGAGACTAGGGAGGGTGTATCCACTCCCCATTACATAATTAGGGCCTACTCTGTACCACTCCACTTGAAGGCTCTTATCATAATTCAGTAGCGTATAGGCTAGCCTGGGATGTTCTCTTCACGCCACTCTGTCTGGAGCCTCTCAATTAGGCAGTGATTTGTCAGGTTAGAAAATTATTTGTCCAATCAAGTTTCCAGACAGAGGGCAAAGCTGATTTCTCAAGCTGGCTGGCACCCAGGCAGAGGAGTCTCCATATGGCAGTTGAAGCAGAAAGGATATTATCATGCAGCCTATAGGCGTAGCTGGGTTGGTGGGTGACGAGGTCTTAGACACCACCTGACTGTCCAGGTGATCAGGTCAAACACTCAATCCTCCTTTGTCTTTGCCCTGGCTAGGGCTGTGACAGTCATGGAATTTTGGATGACGGTTATTGGTCAAGCAAAACTTGCACCCCTTGGGGTCCCCAAGACTGAGTTTGGGAAACGCTGGGCTAATCCCTGGGACCTACCTATAGGGTTTAACCCAGGCCCAGATACAAAGAGCTCTGGCTACAGTTTTGATACAGAAGTTCCAGTGGACCAAATGGATGGTCTCCAATTCAGAGCATCACTACATCACGTTTTCATCATTATCTCACTAAGTAAGCCAGTATTCACTTCACCGATATTTCCTGTGAGAACTTGTCAAAAGGGGAAGCAGCCTAGGCCTAATTAAACATTAACAGTCCAAATCATTCGAAGAAGAATAAATATCTTTAACGAACTTTACTGGGAGAATAAAACGGCAGCAGCAGGCATTAGTGATTTATTAGAACCCTACTAATTAGTAATGTGTTCTATATCTATTCTCTATCTACTTCTTCCCACACGGTTCCTAAACAATAACTGATGATTTGCAAGAATGCATTCTGAAAAATATCCAAAGCTAATAAATGAAGTAATAGCCCCAGTTACCAAGTACATTTTCACTTGTCCCCAGAGTGCTTGGTGCTTTAAGGTATACATGCAAATGAGTGCTCAAGAGCTTTGGTTACATGCTGCTATATTTACAAGAGCGTCCTACAAATCAATTATTCAAACATCAGAGATATCCGTGCTGTCATTGTTCCTCACATGTTTGTGCTCTGGCTGTCCTAGTAGAGTGGATTAATATGAAAGGCTTTCACATGGACAGTTATGGAGAGTGGCCATAGAGGTATAAACAGGATGGATGGCCTTTAAACCTGTAAATATAACCACATCATCCATCATATGTTAACAAATGTGTGTGTGTGTGTGTGTGTGTGTGTGTGTGTGTATGTGTCAGCGTGTGTCACTGACTGTACACACACACACACACACACACACACACACACACACACATCACCATCCTCTACTCTCAAACCGCCCTGACTGAGGGGAGCCTTTTATGTTCTTTAAATCTTTTAAAATAAGCTGACAGAACCTCAGTAGCAAATCAAAGTTTCAAAACCCTCCCTCCTCCGCGTGGTTACATCAAAAACGATTTATGTTCAAAAGGCTGAACTCCGTGCTGCGTTCGAAACAAGTGACAGAATATCTGAGTCCCAGACTGGCTTCCCAAGGATAACAGGCAGTAACCAGCACAGGAGACTGTCCGTTCTACCCATTCAGAGTGAACTAGTGCCCTACGAGGACCCATGCCTACTGTGGCAATTACAGCCCACAACCCAGAGGAGCAGAGTGGATAGCATGACCTGGCCAGCCTGTCCCCTACAATTACAGGGCTGCATTGAGGTAGTAGGGTGGCACCACTCTGTCGTCTGCACTCTGCAATGAGAGTCTAGCTGCTGAGCTGGGTGGGCACTGACATCAGATCACAGTGTCCTGGGATGCTACTTACAAACATTCCACCGGCCGCTACCTCTCCCTGACCTCCTCCTCCTTCACCTTGTTGTTTCTGCTGCTGTCGTTCACAGGGTCTGGCTGCAGCTAGCCCTCCCTCATCTCATCCTATACTCTGCCTGGTCCAGGGCTATGTCAGAATCACACAGCCACGCCACATGTGCACCTGTGCTACACCATCATGTTGTGACAACTGACAATTGGTGTGCCTTGTGCTTGCCTTTCACTATTTCCCATGAGATGTCCTTTCCAAATATACCCAGATATGTTAAGCATTAGAGCAGGACTACAAGCAGTGTAATTAACCAACCTTGGTGAATTAAACTCACCCAGCTCTCCAGCGGCATTGCGTCCACCCACGGCGTAGAGGTGTCCCTTGAGAGCGCTGAGGTGGAAGAAGGTGCGTTTCTCGTTAAGGCACGCCACCTGCATCCACTTGTTGTAGCGCGGGTCGTAACGGAACACCGTGTCCACCGCCGTCTTGCCTTTGGTGTCATAGTTGCTCTGGCCTCCCACCACGTAGAGGAAGTTGCCGATGACGGCGATGCCATGCTGGTAGCGGGGGGCGTCCATGGGCGCCAGCGCCTTCCACTCGTGGGCCTTCTCGTCAAACAGACGCAGCTCCTTACTGACCACCAGCTGCTGGCGCAGGACGCCGCCCAGGGTGACCAGGTGACCGCTGTCTGAGCGGATGGCCGTCCTCTCTGACTGCATGACCGGCTGCATATAGGGCATCATCTGGTAGTTGCTGGCCTCCAGGAGAAGGTTGACGCAGGTGTTGTCTGTGCGCATAAAGTCTACAGTCTGCACGTGGTTGATGAGCTCCTGGGGGTTCATGAGGGGGAAGCGGATGTTCTTCATGAGCTTGGGGGCGTGGTCCATGCGTCCGTCCTCATAGCGGAGCCAGCGGCACGCGGCCTTGAACAGGTCCAGCTCGCTGCAGTGCTTCAGACTGTTACTGGACAGAACAAAGGCCAGCCGCTCAAAGGGCAGCTTGACAAAGTCCCCCGTGCCCAGCAGCGAGGGAAAGTTCTTGAGGATGAAGTTGTTGACGTATTTGTCCACCTCCGTGAGGTTGTATGTGTTAGCGATGCGCCCCACCTCCACACAGTTATCCAGGGACACCTGCAGCCAAGGAGAGAGGGGAAGCAGTGAGAAGCAACCACTCTCAGTCACACCACACACAAACAACACATTTTACACAGTGCTTTTACCGCAGGCCAAATCTAGATATTAAAGTAGGCAGTAGAGTACAGTAGTCAGATATCTTAAGCTGCTGAGTATAATCCCCCTGGCTGGTTCTGGAGGGCTGAGCAGGCTATACGAGCAGGCTATACGAGCAGGCTATACGAGCAGGCTATACGAGCAGGCTATAAGATCAGGTAGGATGAGCAGGCAGTGTTAGGCTCCTTACCCCAGATATGAGAAAGACCTTGCAGAAGTCGAGCACAGGGAGGATTTGGAGGAAGCTGGCTGCCTCCAGTGTGTCCTGCAGGTTCTCCATGTTGAGAGACAGCTTGGCCGTGTAGATGAAGTCTATGATCTTCTTCAGGCCTATTCGGTTGACACCATGAAGCTTGATGCACATCAAATCCTGTTCCTTCATTCCACCTGCGTGATGAGGAGAGAGAGAGAGCGAGAGAGAGAGAGACAGAGAGAGATAGAGAGAGAGACAGAGAGAGAGAGACACACAGACAGAGACAGACAGAGAGAGAAACAGAGAGACAGGAGAAAAACACAAGGAGCATATTATACAAGGCACCAGTCAGAGAAAAACAGAATAGCATCACCTATGAGCTCTGCCTTTGACAGTCAAGGCTAACCGAAGGAACAGACGCCATTCCACCGAGCTTTCATACATCTACCATTATGGCTGCATGTAAATGAAATGTATTCACCAAAGCCTGGAGACCGTTGTATAATTCACCCAGAGAGGGCTGTGGGTCGCAGTGAAAAGCCTTTGCTCAGCATCGCAGCAGCATACTCCCCTCCTTATTACGGGCTTAAACAGTGACTCACTTCCCTCTTAGCACATCTATTTCAGCTCAACAACACTTCTGAACCTCTCAGATAGGCTGCATACTTGTCAAATATCTGCTGAACCACTTACAGGTATTGAGGCTGTCCTCTTTTGGCTGTTAAGAAGAGGACATTCGACATTGCCTAACTCTTGAGGAATAACTGCATCTATCTCAGTCATTTCTATTTGCGTCATCAGTGAGGCACTTACTAAGCTACAACAAGAAGAAAGAAAGAAAAACAGAAATACATTACGGAAAGAAAAATACACATGCTGAATATTGTTGCTGATCACAGAAATGATTTCCCAGGCATTGTACAATAACATAAATAACATTTCTAAACAACCTCAGTGTTGAATGCAATTTTTGCATTGTCTTGTGAAAAGGCTTATTATTTTTCTAAAAGCACAAGGCAAATCGAAACTTTAACCCCTGGGGAAAAGGTCCCACATCTAATTCAAGGTAAGGTACACTATATACATTGCATTCGGAAAGTACTCAGACCCCTTGACTTTTTCCACATTTTGTTACGTTACAGCCTTATTCAAAAATGGATTAAATTGTTTTTGTCCTCGGTTGCAACACTCACTACCGAGTTCCAAACTGCCTCTGGAAGCAACGTCAGCACAAGAACTGTTCGTCGGGAACTTAATGAAATGGGTTTCCTTGGCCGAGCAGCCTCACACATGCCTAAGATCACCATGTGCAATGCCAAGCGTCGGCTGGAGTGGTGTAAAGCTTGCCGCCATTGGACTCTGGAGCAGTGGAAACGTGTTCTCTGGAGTGATGAATCACGCATCACCATCTGGCAGTCCGACGGACGAATCTGGGTTTGGCGGATGCCAGAAGAACGCTACCTGCCGAATGCATAGTGCCAACTGTAAAGTTTGGTGGAGGAGGAATAATGGTCTGGGGCTGTTTTTCATGGTTCGGGCTAGGCCCCTTTGTTCCAGTGAAGGGAAATCGTAACACTACAACATACAATTACATTCTAGATGATTCTGTGCTCCAACTTTGTGGCAAAAGTTTGGGGAAGGCCCTCTCCTGTTTCAGCATGACAATGCCCCCGTGCACAAAGCGAGGTCCATACAGAAATGGTTTGTTGAGATCGATGTGGAAGAACTTGACTGGCCTGCACAGAGCCCTGACCTCAACCCCATTGAACACCTTTGGGCTGAATTGGAACGCCGACTGCAAGCCAGGCCTAATTGCCCAACATAAGTGCCCGACCTCACTAATGCTGTTGTGGCTGAATCGAAGCAAGTCCCCGCAGCAATGTTCCAACATCTAGTGGAAAGCCTTCCCAGAAGAGTGTAGGCTGTTATAGCAGCAAAGGGGGGACCAACTCATATTAATGCCCATGGTTTTGGAATGAGATGTTCGAGCTGGTGTCCAGATACTTTTGGTCATGTAGTGTAGCTTGTCAGATTGTAGAGATGACAGGGGAAGTAAAAAGCAGCATCTCAAACCCTGGAGGATTCACGCTGTGCTTAAAGGAAAAGAGCACTTTGGGAGAAGCCTCTTTCAGGGAGATTGACACAATAATTTCCATCTACCAGGCAGGAGAACCAAGACAGAGACCAACAACGCCCTTCTGATTAGCCATGGCTGGCTCAAACACACACACACACACTGCTTCCATCAGAAGGCGATTTACGCAACAACCAGACAACACAATGCTAACAGCCCCAGAGTACAGATTGAATGATGGACGCGTGACAAACAGGCTAATCCTCTGATCACTCAGTCTGTTAATCAACATTAAACACAATATGCAGTCGTCCCATCCTGTGCTTGCTGCTGCTGCGAGAGAGAGAGAGAGAGAGAGAGAGACATAATGTCTTACCTGTGAACATGGCTTTGAAGTAGTCGCTGGAGGAGGCCATCATTGCGCGGTGCACTGGAAAGGCTTCGTCTCCGTCCCCCGCCACCAGTGTGACATCACACAGTAATCCCTCTATCCTCAGCTGGTCAAATCCCTGGGATGGAGGGAGGGAGAGACAGGAGAGACCAGCCTGTTAGAGAGCTGCTCTGTGTCCTGTGGAGAGACCCTGTCTGTCCTGAACCATGGCCTCATTCCAGAGGGGCTCAACCTGCTCTCTATAGCCCTGCCCAGACTTGGACACCGAGACTGGATTATCCTAACTCAATCACTACATAACAGCACTACCGGTTCTTGACAACCTTCCTGCAAATAAACAATGTATATCCCTAAAGTAATTATTTGTCTACCTTCACACAGAAAATGTTACAGTAAGTTTTTTATTTCATATTCTGATTTAATGTAAATTCCTTCAAGGAAAAAATTTTTGGGGGTAAAACCAGCCAAATACATCTTAAATGAATATGCCACAGAACTATACTGCTCACCTGGCTTAATAGCAATATGTAGCAATGATATTATTTTCTACTGGTCAAATTGATTGTTTCTAGACGGCTCCCTTGACATTCCGAATACAAAGTCATTACTCCAACAACATTCTTTTTAACCTTTTTATGTTCAGGAAAAACTGATGTCGATGTTAGCTAAATAGGACAATTATGGTGTTATCAAGCCCAGTGCTCAGTCACAGACTGAGGTCCCTATAAAGAACACAGTGGAGTCTAAACGCGGCCACATGCTTCCCATCCGAAACAGTTCGGAACAGTTTGTGTATATATTATGACGACATTTTGTGACGTTTTTGTTCATTTTGGTCTTCGGCAAGGGTTTTTTAGGCTGTTCGTGCACACATTTTTGTAATGTCAGTTGAGTTGAATCAACAAATCACAGCACATATTGATGGGTACACCTCCTGCTTTTACTTCCTGCTTTGTGCCTATGGGAACGCTGTATCGCATTAGTGGAAACCAAGACTGTTCTAAGGGCAAGTCTGTCGGTTTTGACTAGCAGAAGTGACTTTTCGTAGCAGGTTAGGAAAACTTACGTGGCAGGTTAGAAGAATAAGGTTAAGGTTAGCTAAAATTGTCCCCGACGTGACTCAAACATATCTAGCTACAACCAGGCCTGCCCTGAGAACAGTCTTGGTTTTCACTAATGTGATGCTGCTATGGGTACACTTGCAATGGCCGCCAGTCCACCCATTATGCTATCATTGACGAATGGGGACGCTCGTTCTATTCATTCTATTTCTATGGCAGCACATGCGTTCAGGAGCGGAGGATAGGAGAACATTTGCTATTACCATCATCCAAAAGTCCATGACCATCACAACCCTACTTGCAGCAATGACAGAGACAGTGTTAATATGATTAAGTGGCATCCCATATAAGCATTGTGCTGAATCACACGTATACACCCACCCTGTGCTGTGTTCCTGACACCTTTTCAACACGATAATACACTCTTCAACAGCTAAAAGGCTATTACACTGTCGAAGGGAAACCTATGAAGCACTCTGTCTAACTAACAACATCTCCACACTTCAACACAACACACCTCCGTCATAGTGACAGGTTGTGGAGTACACACAGTGTGGACAGGTCATTGACGAGTCCAACAGCTTTCTGCCATCTCCTGCCTGGCCTGGGGGCCCCTCTCTCTGTGACGACCTTCACGTGTGGACAGAGACTGGCATGGGTAAGGCAGGCCAGGGAGCCTGACTCACTGAATGACTCACTCACTCACTGACTGATACTGATGCTTCATTCCACGGCTGGAGCCCAACACGCTGAGCCACTGTCTGTCTACACTGCAGGGGTCACAACCATGTCTCTGTCTTACCCTTCCAGCTAGTTACTGTATATAAGTAATATAATGGAGTTCTTCTCCAATGAAATTGTCATCACGTTTTCTTTGTGTCTTCTCATATGCAGAAGACATCTCGTTCTATGCGTGCGATGAAAAAAGTAGGCCATTTCAACTAGAGGGAACAACAGTCATTTCCATTATTTCAATCCAACTTTTCATGAATGATATCACTTTGACAACTCATTGCAAAGAGCATAACAGACCGTTTTCAATGTCTTAGAACATAATTCCCTTTGAGTCAATGGAATCATATACTGATCATTCTCCTTATCAAATGCAGTGAATGGGTTTGAAAGTCTTATATATCCTAACCAGCTTGCACACACAACCCTGATTTATTTATGTGCTTTGACCCTCCACGCGCATTGCATCCTGACTTCAGATGTGCCAGTGATTAGAGTGGGTGAGTCGTGTTGTTAGCGTGGGTGTGATTGTTATAATTATTAAAAGGTGACGCGTTCATTGTGTTGTGAAAAACTCATTATATATTTTTTCTAGGACTGACCCAATTTAGTCGACTGGTCAATTGTTTGGTTGATAAGCTGTTTGTCGACCGAGATTTCTTCAGTCAAGTTTTTTTGTTTTTCATGGTGCACAAGACACCTGTCGCACCTGATTCGCGCCTGTCTCAGTGGACTGATCAGTCCATCACTCTAAGACATATGATACTGAAATTGTATATGGTTATATTATGTAATAAATAATGGTGCAACATTACCCCAACCAGAAGCCATGGATTACTGGCAACATCCGCACTGAGCTAAAGGGTAGAGCTGCCGATTTCAAGGAGCGGGACTCTAACCCGGACGCTTATAAGAAATTCCGCTATGCCCTCCGACAAACCATCAAACAGGCAAAGAGTCAATACAGGACTAAGATTGAATCGTACTACACCGGCTCTGACGCTCGTCGGATGTGGTAGGGCTTGAAAACTATTACAGACTACAAAGGGAAGCACAGCTGCGAGCTGCCCAGTGACACAAGCCTACCAGATGAGCTAAATCACTTCTATGCTCGCATCGAGGCAAGCAGCACTGAAGCATGCATGAGAGCATCAGCTGTTCCGGATGACTATGTGATCACGCTCTCCGTAGCCGATGTGAGTAAGACTTTTAAGCAGGTCAACATTCACAAGGCCACAGGGCCAGATGGATTACCAGGACATGTACTCAGAGTATGTGCTGACCAACTGGCAAGTGTCGTCACTGACATTTTCAACATGTCCCTGATTGAGTCTGTAATACCAACATGTTTCAAGCAGACCACCATAGTCCCTGTGCCCAAGAACACTAAGATAACCTGCCTAAATGACTACCGACCCGTAGCACTCACATGCTTTGAAAGGCTGGTTATGGCTCACATCAACATCATTATCCCAGAAACCCTAGACCCACTCCAATTTGCATACCGCCCCAACAGATCCACAGATGATGCAATCTCTATTGCACTCCACACTGCCCTTTTCCACCTGGACAAGAGGAACACCTACGTGAGAATGCTATTCATTGACTACAGCTCAGCGTTCAACACCATAGCACCCTCAAAGCTCATCACTAAGCTAAGGACCCTGGGACTAAACACCTCCCTCTGCAACTGGATCCTGGACTTCCTGATGGGCCGCCCCCAGGGTGGTAAGGGTAGGTAACAACTCATCTGCCACGCTGATCCTCAACACGGGGGCCCCTCAGGGGTGCGTGCTCAGTCCCCTCCTGTACTCCCTGTTCATCCATGACTGCATGGCCAGGCACGACTCCAACGCCATCATTAAGTTTGCCGACGACACAACAGTGGTAGGCCTGATCACCGACAACGATGAGACAGCGTATACGGAGGAGGTCAGAGACCTGGCCATGTGGTGCCAAGATAACAACCTCTCCCTCAACGTGATCAAGACAAAGGAGATGATTGTGGACTACAGGAACAAAAAGAGGACTGAGCACGCCCCCATTCTCATCGACGGGGCTGTAGTGGAACAGGTTGAGAGCTTCAAGTTCCTTGGTGTCTATATCACCAACAAACTATCATGGTCCAAACACACCAAGACAGTCGTGAAGAGGGCACGACAAAGCCTATTCCCCCTCAGGAGACTGAAAAGATTTGGCATGGTTCATCAGATCCTCAAAAAGTTATACAGCTGCACCATCGAGAGCATCCTGACTGGTTGCCTCACCGCCTGGTATGGCAACTGCTTGGCCTCCAACCGCAAGACACTACAGAGGGTAGTGCGTATGGCCCAGTACATCACTGGGGCCAAGCTTCCTGCCATCCAGGACCTCTATACCAGAGGAAGGCCCTAAAAATTATCAAAGACTCCAGCCACCCTAGTCATAGACTGTTCTCTCTGCTACCGCACAGCAAGCGGTACCGGAGCGCCAAGTCTAGGTCCAAAAGGCTTCTTAACAGCTTCTACCCCCAAGCCATAAGACTCCTGAACAGCTACCCAGACTATTTGCATTCTCTGTACCGGTACCCCCTGTATATAGCCTCCCTACTGTTAACTTATTTTACTGCTGCTCTTTAATTATTTGCTATTTTTTACTTATCTACTTTTTACTTAACACCTTTTTTCCCCCCCTTAAAAACTACATTGTTGGTTAAGGGCATGTAAGTAAGCATTTCACTGTAATGTCTACACCTGTTGTATTCGGCGCATGTGGCAAATAACATTTTATTTTATTTGATATACACTACCGGTCAAAAGTTTTAGAGCACCTACTCATTCAAGGGTTTTTCTATATTTTTACTATTTTCTACATTGTAGAATAATAGTGAAAACATTCTACAATGTAGAAAATAGTAAAAAATAAAGAAAAACCCTTGAATGAGTAGGTGTTCGAAAACTTTTGACCGGTAGTGTATATCTACAGAAATAAGACAGATCTTGCTTCTGTTGCCTGTTTGAGTGTTTGTTTAATAGCCTACTGACTCCGTGAGCACCAAGCCTCATGCAACGACAAAATGTCGGATAAAGCAATTTCACAGATTTGGCTGTTTTTAATCGTTGCTATGCTGTAATAAAGGTTTACAAATTTTTTTCGTTACAACTGACTGTTTTTTTTCTTTTTTTTCTTTTTAGGGGTAGATCAGCTTTAATATTTCAGATAGATAGTAACTTCCATCAATGTAATTGTCTGCATCACTTCCAATCCCCCATATGTTATTTTTCTCGCAAATATATATATACACATACATACATACATACAGTGGGGAGAACAAGTATTTGATACACTGCCGATTTTGCAGGTTTTCCTACTTACAAAGCATGTAGAGGTCTGTAATTTTTATCATAGGTACACTTCAACTGTGAGAGACGGACAAAATCCAGAAAATCACATTGTATGATTTTTAAGTAATTAATTTGTATTTTATTGCATGACATAAGTATTTGATCACCTACCAACCAGTAAAAATTCCGGCTCTCACAGACCTGTTCGTTTTTCTTTAAGAAGCCCTCCTGTTCTCCACTCATTACCTGTATTAACTGCACCTATTTGAACTGGTTACCTGTATAAAACACACCTGTCCACACACTCAATTAAACAGACTCCAACCTCTCCACAATGGCCAAGACCAGAGAGCTGTGTAAGGACATCAGGGATAAAATTGTAGACCTGCACAAGGCTGGGATGGGCTACAGGACAATAGGCAAGCAGCTTGGTGAGAAGGCAACAACTGTTGGCGCAATTATTAGAAAATGGAAGAAGTTCAAGATGACGGTCAATCACCCTCGGTCTGGGGCTCCATGCAAGATCTCACCTCGTGGGGCATCAATGATCATGAGGAAGGTGAGGGATCAGCCCAGAACTACATGGCAGGACCTGGTCAATGACCTGAAGAGAGCTGGGACCACAGTCTCAAAGAAAACCATTCGTAACACACTACGCCGTCATGGATTAAAATCCTGCAGCGCATGCAAGGTCCCCCTGCTCAAGCCAGCGCATGTCCAGGCCCGTCTGAAGTTTGCCAATGACCATCTGGATGATTCAGAGGAGGAATGGGAGAAGGTCATGTGGTCTGATGAGACAAAAATAGAGCTTTTTGGTCTAAACTCCACTCGCCGTGTTTGGAGGAAGAAGAAGGATGAGTTCAACCCCAAGAACACCATCCCAACCGTGAAGCATGGAGGTGGAAACATCATTATTTGGGGATGCTTTTCTGCAAAGGGGACAGGACGACTACACCGTATTGAGGGGAGGATGGATGGGGCCATGTATCACGAGATCTTGGCCAACAACCTCCTTCCCTCAGTAAGAGCATTGAAGATGGGTCGTGGCTGGGTCTTCCAGCATGACAACGACCCGAAACACACAGCCAGGGCAACTAAGGAGTGGCTCCGTAAGAAGCATCTCAAGGTCCTGGAGTGGCCTAGCCAGTCTCCAGACCTGAACCCAATAGAAAATCTTTGGAGGGAGCTGAAAGTCCGTATTGCCCAGCGACAGCCCCAAAACCTGAAGGATCTGGAGAAGGTCTGTATGGAGGAGTGGGCTAAAATCCCTGCTGGTTGGAGGTTGGAGTCTGTTTGATTGAGTGTGTGGACAGGTGTCTTTTATACAGGTAACGAGTTCAAACAGGTGTAGTTAATACAGGTAATGAGTGGAGAACAGGAGGGCTTCTTAAAGAAAAACTAACAGGTCTGTGAGAGCCGGAATTCTTACTGGTTGGTAGGTGATCAAATACTTATGTCATGCAATAAAATGCAAATTAATTACTTAAAAATCATACAATGTGATTTTCTGGATTTTTGTTTTAGATTCCGTCTCTCACAGTTGAAGTGTACCTATGATAAAAAGTACAGACCTCTACATGCTTTGTAAGTAGGAAAACCTGCAAAATCGGCAGTGTATCAAATACTTGTTCTCCCCACTGTATATATATATATATTTTTTTTCATACTGGCCCCCGTGGGAAACGAACCCACATCCCTGCCGGCCAAACCCTCCCCTAACTTGGACGACGCTGGACCAATTGTGCGCCGCCCATGGGTCTCCCGGTCGCGGCCGGCTGCGACAGAGCCTGGACTCGAACCAGGATCTCTAGTGGCACAACTAGCACTGCGATGCAGTGCCTTAGACCACTGCGCCACTCGGGAGCAGCCGGCCGCGACCGGGAGACCCATGGGCGGCGCACAATTGGCCCAGCGTCGTCCAAGGTAGGGGAGGGTTTGGCCGGCAGGGATGTGGGTTCGTTTCCCACGGGGAGCCAGTATGAAAAAAATATATATATCATAATAATAATAATACATGTATGCATATATATACACATACATACACACACATATATATATACATACATACATACATACATACATACATACATACATACATACATACATACATACATATCCTTTTAAAAATTATATTTCCCTTCATTACTTTCCAACCCCACCACCTCTTCCCCAATTGGAGTAAACTAGTGAACAACAACGCGTAGGCCTCTACTTCCAGCCCATACATACTATATACATTTTATGGACACAGTCAAATTCTACAATAATTATATTTTGTTTATTTTTACTCCTGAACTTCCTCCGATCATTTTCATGATATCCATCTGGTTTGCTTCTATATGCCATATTTTTCTAACTGTGCTCTTTCACAAAAGCTCTCAACCTATAACCTATATACTTATTATGGAGTATGCTTAACATTAGTTATCTTTCCGTTATTAGTTGTTGTTAGTTGTTATTAGTCCCATTCTTCAGCTCCATTCAACACCTCCCATCTATCTCTTAACACCATCCATATTGGATTTCTATTTGCCATATATATTTCAACTGTACTGTGATGTTTTACAAAAGTTCTGAACCTTTCTATTTTCATTGTTTCTACAGATTGTAAATTGAAAATAAACATTTTTGCTAAAAGTATTATTATATTATTGATCGATTGACTATGACTTTTCAGAGCACCCAGTAGCGCTATCTGCAGGGTTAGCTCCAGGTAAATATTGCAATCCTTTAGCCATTCCTGGACCTGTGTCCAAAAACAAGCTACAAATGGACAGTACCAAAACAAATGATCTAATGATTCCGTCTCTTCGCAGCAAAATCTGCAGAGCTGGGAAGATTGTATCCCCCATATAAATAACATTCTATTGGTAGCAATAATTTTATATAATCATTTAAATAGAAAAATTATAAGTTTTGAATCCGGCGTCGTTTTGCGTATCAATTCATAAACACTATGCCATGGAATCGGTACGTCAAAAATCTCTTCCCATCTATTTTGCAATCTATATGGGACGGCTGTCAATCCTTTGGTCCTTAAATGAAACTGGTATACATTTTTATTTATCACAATTTTCTTTAACCAATTATATTCTTTAATGCAAGGCCGACAGACAAGTTCCTTACTTTTACCCCCTTCCACTTTCCTTTTCCATTTTTGCGGTAATGCTGCAATTATTTGGTTGTAATTTTGGGTAGAGCAGACATTTCCATATGTTTTTGTTAGCTGCATGTGCGACATACAGTGGGGAAAAAAAGTATTTAGTCAGCCACCAATTGTGCAAGTTCTCCCACTTAAAAAGATGAGAGAGGCCTGTAATTTTCATCATAGGTACACGTCAACTATGACAGACAAATTTAGATTTTTATTCTCCAGAAAATCACATTGTAGGATTTTTTATGAATTTATTTGCAAATTATGGTGGAAAATAAGTATTTGGTCACCTACAAACAAGCAACATTTCTGGCTCTCACAGACCTGTAACTTCTTCTTTAAGAGGCTCCTCTGTCCTCCACTCGTTACCTGTATTAATGGCACCTGTTTGAACTTGTTATCAGTATAAAAGACACCTGTCCACAACCTCAAACAGTCACACTCCAAACTCCACTATGGCCAAGACCAAAGAGCTGTCAAAGGACACAAGAAACAAAATTGTAGACCTGCACCAGGCTGGGAAGACTGAATCTGCAATAGGTAAGCAGCTTGGTTTGAAGAAATCAACTGTGGGAGCAATTATTAGGAAATGGAAGACATACAAGACCACTGATAATCTCCCTCGATCTGGGGCTCCACGCAAGATCTCACCCCGTGGGGTCAAAATGATCACAAGAACTGTGAGCAAAAATCCCAGAACCACACGGGGGGACCTAGTGAATGACCTGCAGAGAGCTGGGACCAAAGTCTACCATCAGTAACACACTACGCCGCCATGGACTCAAATCCTGCAGTGCCAGACGTGTCCCCCTGCTTAAGCCAGTACATGTCCAGGCCCGTCTGAAGTTTGCTAGAGTGCATTTGGATGATCCAGAAGAGGATTGGGAGAATGTCATATGGTCAGATGAAACCAAAATAGAACTTTTTGGTAAAAACTCAACTCGTCGTGTTTGGAGGACAAAGAATGCTGAGTTGCATCCAAAGAACACCATACCTACTGTGAAGCATGGGGGTGGAAACATCATGCTTTGGGGCTGTTTTTCTGCAAAGGGACCAGGACGACTGATCCGTGTAAAAGAAAGAATGAATGGGGCCATGTATCGTGAGATTTTGAGTGAAAACCTCCTTCCATCAGCAAGGGCATTGAAGATGAAACGTGGCTGGGCATGACAATGATCCCAAACACACCGCCCGGGCAACGAAGGAGTGGCTTCGTAAGAAGCATTTCAAGGTCCTGGAGTGGCCTAGCCAGTCTCCAGATCTCAACCCCATAGAAAATCTTTGGAGGGAGTTGAAAGTCTGTGTTGCCCAGCGACAGCCCCAAAACATCACTGCTCTAGAGGAGATCTGCATGGAGGAATGGGCCAAAATACCAGCAACAGTGTGTGAAAACCTTGTGAAGACTTACAGAAAACGTTTGACCTGTGTCATTGCCAACAAAGGGTATATAACAAAGTATTGAGAAACTTTTTTTATTGACCAAATACTTATTTTCCACCATAATTTGCAAATAAATTCATAAATAATCCTACAATGTGATTTTCTGGAAAAATTTTCTCATTTTGTCTGTCATAGTTGACGTGTACCTATGATGAAAATTACAGGCCTCTCTCATCTTTTTAAGTGGGAGAACATGCACAATTGGTGGCTGACTAAATACTTTTTTCCCCCACTGTAACTCCACCAGTCCTACCGATAATATCATTTACATTACATTTTAGTCATTTAGCAGACGCTCTTATCCAGAGCGACTTACAGTTAGTGAGTGCATAATTTTTTTTTCCATACTGGCCTCCCGTGGGAAACGAACCCACAACCATGGCGTTGCAAGCGCCATGCTCTACCAACTGAGAGTCGTCCTGTTCTTTCAACCAATCGATTGGTCGAAATGTTTTAACTTATTTTTCCATATATAGACAGACACACCCTATGTGTTTAAATAAAACCAACAACATATGCACTGAGCTTGTCTGATGCTTTAAGCACACTATAAATAATTAAGACACACAAATGACTCAAGAAAGAGCCCGATGGTCACACTGTGTTAAATAAAATGACAGCGAGTGCCTGTGTGACTGGCACACGTTGTTTCGCTCTCCTCCTTACTGCAGCGAAAAGGCACCACATAATAATAATAATAATAATATGCCATTTAGCAGACGCTTTTATCCAAAGCGACTTACAGTCATGCGTGCATACATTTTTTTTGTGTATGGGTGGTCCCGGGGATCGAACCCACTACCATGGCGTTACAAGCGCCGTGCTCTACCAGCTGAGCTACAGAGGACCACATCACAGTAAGTGTTTATTGCGCTGTCCGTGCTGAAGCTGCCACATAATTTCATCCATTTAGTGTCTTACTTGTTTCTGACTGAAAAGTTCTGTTACCGAAATCCCTAATTTGTTCAGGAAAAACATTTCCTATTCCCTCAACCCTTGCTCTCTTTACGTGAAACATGTACGCATTTCATCGCATGTGACCAATAGGGCCGGACCTATAGCCTATCCTAATCACATTAATAAATTGGTTGTATCAAACTCAGAACACCATAATGTCGACAGCAAAATGGATGCAGAGGACGTGAAAAAGAAACTCGAAATGGGCAAATGTTTACTGGTTTCTCAGGAGGGAAAGGGGAAGTCAGATCTGTGGAAGACATTTTACTTAGTTGTGGAAACTACTGGAGATCAACAAAAAGGAGGGTATTGGAGCAAGCGTTGCGTGAGTATTGGGTGTGCCAAATTATTGCCGTTAGATTACAATATTATACTTTTTTCTGACCATTTGGAACAGTGTAAACAATGATGATGACATTACTTATTATTATAATGATGATCATAATAATATTTGTAATAATAACAATAAGTAGGAGATCAAGAAAAAAGGAGAGTATATGAACCATCTCTCATTCTCTCTCCTGTAACCCGCCCTCCCATCCATTACTACTCACCTGAAGGACAACTGAGCTGTGTGTGTTGCTTGTGAAGAAGCGAGTGTTTCCTGTTTTGGAAGGCTGTAGGTGGGCAGAGACGCCCATGTCACCACACCCCAGCGACACTTTCATGTGAGGGTCGTCGTCCTCCACGAGGGATCTTCAGGGGAGGCAGAGAGAGAGGGGAAACGAGAGAGAGGGTAAGAGAGAGAGAGGGAAAGAGACGTTTAGCTCACAATCATGCAGTACAAGCACAGATTTACATTAAAATCAACTTGAGTGTGTTTTGCATTCGGAAAGTATTCAGACCCCTTGACTTTTTCCACATTTTGTTACGTTACAGCCTTATTCTAAAATTGATTAAAAAATAAATAAATCTCAATACGATACCCCATAATGACAAAGCGAAATCACATTTTTAGAAATGTTTGCAAATGTTTTTATTGTTTTATACGCTATTCAGACCCTTTGCTATGAGACTCGAAATTGAGCTTTCCATTGATCATCCTTGAGATGTCTCTACAACTTGATTGGCTATATATACAGGGGGGTACCGTTGCATAGTCAATGTGGCGGGGGCACCGGCTAGTTGAGGTAGTTGAGGTAATATGTACATGTGGGTAGAGTTAAAGTGACTATGCATAAATACTTAACAGAGTAGCAGCAGCGTAAAAAGGATGGGGTGGGGGGGCAGTGCAAATAGTCCGGGTAGCCATGATTAGCTGTTCAGGAGTCTTATGGCTTGGGGGTAGAAGCTGTTGAGAAGTCTTTTGGACCTAGACTTGGCACTCCGGTAACCGCTTGCCGTGCGGTAGCAGAGAGAACAGTCTATGACTAGGGTGGCTGGAGTCTTTGACAATTTTGAGGGCCTTCCTCTGACACCGCCTGGTATAGAGGTCCTGGATGGCAGGGAGCTTTGCCCCAGTGATGTACTGGGCCGTACGCACTACCCTCTGTAGTGCCTTGCGGTCAGAGGCCAAGCAGTTGCCATACCAGGCGGTGATGCAACCAGTCAGGATGCTCTCGATGGTGCAGCTGTAGAATTTTTTGAGGATCTGAGGACCCATGCCAAATCTTTTTAGTCTCCGGGGGTGGGGAATAGGCTTTGTCGTGCCCTCTTCACGACTGTCTTGGTGTGTTTGGACCATGATAGTTCGTTGGTGATGTGGACACCAAGGAACTTGAAGCTCTCAACCTGTTCCACTACAGCCCCGTCGATGAGAATGGGGGCGTGCTCAGTCCTCTTTTTTTTCCTGTAGTCCACAATCATCTCCTTTGTCTTGGTCACGTTGAGGGAGAGGTTGTTGTCCTGGCACCACACGGCCAGATCTCTGACCTTTGAGTCCACCTGTGGTAAATTCAATTGATTGGACATGATTTGGAAAGGCACACACCTGTCTATATAAGGTACCACAGTTGACAGTGCATGTTAGAGCAAAAACCAAGTCATGAGATCGAAGGAATTGTCCGAAGAGCTCTGAGACAGGATGGTGTCGAGGCACAGATCTGGGGAAGGGTACAAAAACATTTCTGCAGCATTGAAGGTCGCCAAGAACACAGTGGCCTCCATCATTCTTAAATGGAAGAAGCTTGGAACCACCAAGACTCTTCCTAGAGCTGGCCGCCCGGCCAAACTGAGCAATCGGGGGAGAAGGGCCTTGGTCAGGGAGATGACCAAGAACCCGATGGTCACTCTGACAGAGCTCTAGAGTTCCTCTGTGGAGATGGGAGAACCTTCCAGAAGGACAACCATCTCTGCAGCACTCCACCAAATCAGGCTTTTATGGTAGAGTGGCTCCTCAGTAAAAGGCAAAACAGCCCACTTGGAGTTTGCCAAAAGGCACCTATGCTGTGGGGATGTTTTTCAGCGGCAGGGAAGACGAGTCAGGATCGAGGGAAAGATGAACGGAGCAAAGTACAGAAAGATCCTTGATGAAAACCTGCTTCAGAGTGCTCAGGACCTCAGACTGGGGAGGAAGGTTCACCTTCGAACAGGACAGCGACCCTAAGCACACAGCCAAGACAACGCAGGAGTGGCTTCGGGACAAGTCTCTGAATGTCCTTGAGTGGACCAGCCAGAGCCCGGACTTGAACCCGATCAAACATCTCTGGAAAGACCAGAAAATAGCTGTGCAGTGACACTCCCCATCCAACCTGACAAAGCTTGAGAGGATCTACAGAGAAGAATGGGATAAACTCCCCAAGAAGACTCAAGGCTGTAATCGCTGCCAAAGGTGCTTCAACAAAGTACTGAGTAAAGGGTCTGAATACTTATGTAAATGTTATATTGCAGTTTTTATTTCTATACATTTGCAAACATTTCTAAAAACCGGTTTTTGCTTTGTCATTATGGGGTATTGTGTGTAGATTGATGAGAGAAAAAAAACAATTTAATCAATTTTAGAATAAGGCTGTAACATAACAAAATATGGAAAAAGTCAAGGGGTCTGAATACTTCCAAATGCATGATGAGAGAACCTTGAGATTTCCTGATGCAACATGTACAGCACAGAGGCTGAGGAAGGGGGTTTTAGGAAAAGGCTAATTAATACACAGCACCACAAGAAAAAGTGTTTCCTCTATATGCATTTAGCAGCGCAGCACCACCTCTGCTAAATCTTGGCCACCGCCTCTGCTAAATCTTGGCCACCGCCTCTGCTAAATCTTGGCCACCGCCTCTGCTAAATCTCATTTTTGGGATGTTAAAACATTTTCAATGTAAACTTAAACGGCTAAAACCAGATAAATTATGTAGAAAATATAATGGAGCTATATATTTAAAAATAAGATCATATTTGAGAACTAACAACCACCAAAATAAACACCAGGTGGGTGTATTTAATTATCAGGTAGAACAGAAATAACCAGAAGGCTCCAGACGTCGTAGGGTTGAATACCCCTGCACTTTCCTATCATCATCATCTGAAATGTTTATCCTCCTTCTGTACCTCAGAAACCGCAATTACTATCCCATAGTTTCTGATGCCAGACGGCCTCGTCATGCTCTCATTGAGATTGTATGAGAATGACACGACTTGCTTTGGTTGGTGCCCCTGAGCCAATCATAATGGTGTGCTCAACTCCTCCGACACATTACGCTCCATCATCCGAACCTGATGAAGCAATACTTGTGCTCCATGCAACACACCGAAGCAACATCTTGTTAACTACAGAAACTTTAATTAGGCCTATAATTACTGGAGACTGACCAATGTTTCCACTGATTAGTAGGGCACAGCACCAAAACCATGAGGGTCATATTAACTTGAGGACATTCAGGAGGGGGAGCTTCCTCTGGGAAGCCGTTCTCTCAGATAAGGAAAAGTAGCACCATGCACTCTTATGAGATGCATCATGGCCAACATGTCTCCACACTCCTAATCACAATGGAGCATGCAACTGCCCTGGGAATTCCAGAAGCAGAAAAGATTTCATGCTGCTTTAATGCTGTAACTATTCAGTCAGACGCAGTCAGGCTCACTTGGGAAGAAAGCCCAGACAGGCACTTTTATTATAAATGGGGCAGTTGTTTGTGTGGGCTGAAGACGTCTTTTTCCCCTCCTTTCTTCTCATCAAATAATTTTGCATTAAATAATGATTAAATGTTTTCTACTTCAAAAGAGAGGCCACGGCTGAAATAATCAGACCAAGAGAGGCTGGGAAGAATAATCGTGAATCTCATTTTCATCACACAGCATGTAAAAACCATGGCAATGCAAAAATATATAACATTTACAATGAAAAGTCTGATTGACATTTAGGCCAACACGAAGGGAGAACTATTTCTAGATCTAGGCTACCACCACAAAACTAAGGACAACCAGTCCATATTTAGCTACAACACATTCTATACAAGTTATGTTAAACACATTATATGATGATCATCCAGGACTGGTGACTCTAATGAATGGATCTAGATGAGCCAATCAGTGGGTCAGTTAATACTATCAGATATGTTTCTACAAGGAGGTGAAGGTGGATGACCTAGTGGGCTCTAGTGTTTCTACAGGGCTATGAAGATAGATGGCCTAGTGGGCTCTAGCTTGCAGGAATTCAGGGTCAACACCACCACTAGATGCTGAGGATTCATAGCTAGAGGAGTGAGAACAATCACACTGACACACAGCACAGGCAGGGTACTGGTACATTTACCCTGTCAGGTGGTAAGTCAGAGAAGCAGCATGGAGAGAGTGGGTTGTCCAGACCACAAAGGAGTGTTGGTGGCTCCCGGAACGAAAAACAAAGAGAACAACATCTAGAGCAGGATGATGTTATTTGGCCCCCCAAGTTTTTTTATTTTATTATTATGTTATCCCTTTTTTCTCCCCAATTTCGTGATATGCAATTAGTAGTTACAGTCTTGTCCCATCGCTGCAACTCCCGTACGGACTCAGGAGAGGTAAAGGTCGAGAGCCATGCGTCCTCCAAAACATGACCCAGCCAAGCCGCACTGCTTCTTGACACACTGCTCGCTTAACCCGGAAGCAAGCCACACCAATGTGTCTTGAGGAAACATGAACAGCTGGCGAGTGAAGTCAGCGTACACGTGCCCGGCACGCCACAAGGAGTCGCTGGAGCGTGATGGGACTAGGACATCCTGGCTGGCCAAACCCTCCCCTAACCCGGACGATGCTGGGCCAAATGTGCGCCATCTCATGGGTCTCCCGGTCGCGGCCGGCTGCGACACAGCCTGGGCTCGAACCCGGGTCTGTAGTGACACCTCTAGCACTGCGATGCAGTGCATTAGACCGCTGCGCCACTCGGCAGCCCCCCCCCCCCAAGTTTTCTGAACAAAAAAATAAAAAATAATTTTCGTTAAAATACTGTACAGGAAATGAGCTCAAACTGATTTTAATTGAGGAAATCTGTTCCTAAGTATTCGCACACATAGGTAGAGAGGCATACAGTGGGGAGAACAAGTATTTGATACACTGCCGATTTTGCAGGTTTTCCTAGGTTTTCCTACTTACAAAGCATGTAGAGGTCTGCACTTTTTATCATAGGTACACTTCAACTGTGAGAGACGGAATCTAAAACAAAAATCCAGAAAATCACATTGTATGATTTTTAAGTAATTAATTTGCATTTTATTGCATGACATAAGTATTTGATCACCTACCAACCAGTAAGAATTCCGGCTCTCACAGACCTGTTCGTTTT